TTTGTTGGATTTAGGTTTAAGAGTTCCTGCAGGAGGGATTTGCTCTTTGTTGGATTTAGGTCTAAGGGTTCCTAAAGGAGGGATTTGCTCTTGGTCTGATTTAGGTCTGAGAGTTCCTAAAGGAGGGATTTGCTCTTGGTCAGATTTAGGTCTAAGGGTTCCTAAAGGAGGGATTTGCTGTCACTCAGATTTAGGTCTGAGAGTTCCTAAAGGAGGGATTTGCTTTCACTCAGGTCTAAGAGTTCCTAAAGAAGGGATTTGCTCTTGGTCTGATTTAGGTCTAAGAGTTCCTAAAGGAGGGATTTACTCTTTGTTGGATTTAGGTTTAAGAGTTCCTGCAGGAGGGATTTGCTCTTGGTCAGATTTACATCTAAGGGTTCCTAAAGGAGGGATTTGCTCTTGGTCAGATTTAGGTCTAGGGGTTCCTAAAGGAGGGATTTGCTGTCACTCAGATTTAGGTCTGAGAGTTCCTAAAGGAGGGATTTGCTCTTTGTTGGATTTAGGTTTAAGAGTTCCTAAAGGACAGATTTGCTCTTTGTTGGATTTAGGTCTAAGAGTTCCTGCAGGAGGGATTTGCTGTCACTCAGATTTAGGTCTGAGAGTTCCTAAAGGAGGGATTTGCTTTCATTCAGATTTAGGTCTAAGGGTTCCTAAAGGAGGGATTTGCTCTTGGTCTGATTTAGGTCTAAGGGTCCCTAAAGGAGGGATTTGCTGTCACTCAGATTTAGGTCTGAGAGTTCCTAAAGGAGGGATTTGCTCTTGGTCTGATTTAGGTCTAAGGGTTCCTAAAGGAGGGATTTGCTGTCACTCAGATTTAGGTCTAAGGGTTCCTAAAGGAGGGATTTGCTCTTGGTCTGATTTAGGTCTAAGGGTCCCTAAAGGAGGGATTTGCTCTTTGTTGGATTTAGGTCTAAGAGTTCCTAAAGGAGGGATTTGCTCTTGGTCAGATTTAGGTCTAAGGGTTCCTAAAGGAGGGATTTGCTGTCACTCAGATTTAGGTCTGAGAGTTCCTGCAGGAGGGATTTGCTCTTTGTTGGATTTAGGTCTAAGAGTTCCTGCAGGAGGGATTTGCTCTTGGTCTGATTTAGGTCTAAGGGTTCCTAAAGGAGAGATTTGCTTTCACTCAGATTTAGGTCTGAGAGTTCCTAAAGGACAGATTTGCTCTTGGTCTGATTTGGGTCTAAGGGTCCCTAAAGGACGGATTTACTCCTGGTCTGATTTAGGTCTAAGGGTTCCTAAAGGAGGGATTTGCTGTCACTCAGATTTAGGTCTGAGAGTTCCTAAAGGAGAGAATTGCTGTCACTCAGATTTAGGTCTAAGGGTTCCTGCAGGAGGGATTTGCTCTTGGTCTGATTTAGGTCTGAGAGTTCCTAAAGGAGGGATTTGCTCTTTGTTGGATTTAGGTTTAAGAGTTCCTGCAGGAGGGATTTGCTCTTGGTCAGATTTAGGTCTAAGGGTTCCTAAAGGAGGGATTTGCTGTCACTCAGATTTAGGTCTGAGAGTTCCTAAAGGAGGGATTTGCTTTCACTCAGGTCTAAGAGTTCCTGCAGGAGGGATTTGCTCTTTGTTGGATTTAGGTCTAAGAGTTCCTAAAGGAGGGATTTGCTCTTGGTCAGATTTAGGTCTGAGAGTTCCTGCAGGGCGGGATTGTCTGGTTGATTTATGGTCTGAGCGTTCTAAAAGGAGGATTTGCTCTTTGGTCTGATTTAGGTCTACGAGTTTCTGCCGGTGGATTTGCTCTTTGTTGGCTTTCGGGTCTCCGGGTTCCAAAGGAGGGGTTTGCTGTCACTCAGATTTAGGTCTGAGCGTTCCTAAAGGAGGGATTTGCTCTTGGTCAGATTTAGGTCTAAGGGTTCCTAAAGGAGGGATTTGCTGTCACTCAGATTTAGGTCTGAGAGTTCCTAAAGGAGGGATTTGCTTTCACTCAGGTCTAAGAGTTCCTGCAGGAGGGATTTGCTCTTTGTTGGATTTAGGTCTAAGGGTTCCTAAAGGAGGGATTTACTCTTGGTCTGATTTAGGTCTGAGAGTTCCTAAAGGAGGGATTTGCTCTTTGTTGGATTTAGGTTTAAGAGTTCCTGCAGGAGGGATTTGCTCTTGGTCTGATTTAGGTCTGAGAGTTCCTGCAGGAGGGATTTGCTCTTTGTTGGATTTAGGTCTAAGAGTTCCTAAAGGAGGGATTTGCTCTTGGTCAGATTTAGGTCTGAGAGTTCCTGCAGGAGGGATTTACTCTCAGGAAGTCTCTTAAACACCCGACCACACGCTGGCAAAGGAGGACACCCCGCAAGGAGGACGCCCCCCCCGCTTCCCAGGGAGGTTCCGTGGGATGAATCCCGCTTTTCCAGCCCAGGCAGCAGCCGTGGGACATCCTGGGTGCAGCTCCCAGGGCTGGAGCAACTCCGTGACACCCCCGCAGCGGCTCAGAGCTGGGCTCAGGCTCGGCTCACCAATTCCCTGGGAAAAGGGGGCAGGGCAGGGCCAAACTCACTTCCCAAAGACGGGGTTGAGCTGCTTGGAGATGTAGTTCTCCTTGTCCCTGATGTCCGTCTTGCCCAGGCGGATGGCGATGTAGGGGTCGGCCTTGCCGTTGATGTCGGCGGGGTGAAGGTCCGTGGCCTGGGGAGGGCACGGGAGACCCCTCAGGGATGGATCCAGCCCCGGCAGGGAAGGAGGCAGGGACGGGCCCCTTCTCCACCCCCGGGAATGCCTGGCCCTGCCTGGCCACGGCAGTCCCCCTAAATGGGGTGGTTTGGGTAAAAGTGGGGCTGTTCCTGCCTGGTGTTAGTGCCTGTCCCTGCCTGGCCACAACAGCCCCCTAAATGGGGTGTTTGGGGTAAAAGTGGGGCTGTTCCTGTCTGGTGTTAGTGCCTGGCCCTGCCTGGCCACTCCAGTCCCCCTAAATGGGGTGTTTTGGGTAAAAGTGGGGCTGTTCCTGTCTGGCCACTCCAGTCCCCCTAAATGGGGTGTTTTGGGTAAAAGTGGGGCTGTTCCTGTCCCTGTCTGGCCACAACAGTCCCCCTAAATGGGGTGTTTTGGGTAAAACTGGGGCTGTTCCTGCCTGGTGTTAATACCTGTCCCTGTCTGGCCACTCCAGTCCCCCTAAATGGGGTGTTTTGGGTAAAAGTGGGGCTGTTCCTGTCTGGTGTTAATGCCTGTCCCTGTCTGGTCACAACAGCCCCTAAATGGGGTGTTTTGGGTAAAACTGAGGCTGTCCCTGCCTGGCCACGGCAGTCCCCCTAAAGGGGGTATTTTGGGTAAAATTGGGGCTGTTCCTGCCTGGTGTTAATACCTGTCCCTGCCTGGCCACAACAGCCCCCTAAATGGGGTGTTTTGGGTAAAAGTGGGGCTGTTCCTGCCTGGTGTTAGTGCCTGTCCCTGTCTGGCCACAACAGCCCCTAAATGGGGTGTTTTAGGTAAAACTGGGGCTGTTCCTGTCCCTGTCTGGCCACTCCAGTCCCCCTAAATGGGGTGTTTTGGGTAAAACTGAGGCTGTCCCTGCCTGGCCACTCCAGTACCCCTAAAGGGGGTATTTTGGGTAAAATTGGGGCTGTTCCTGCCTGATGTTAGTGCCTGTTCCTGCCTGGCCACTCCAGTCCCCGCAAATGGAGTGTTTTGGATAAAACTGGGGCTATTCCTGCCTGATGTTAATGCCTGTCCCTGCCTGGCCACTCCAGTCCCCTAAATGGGTGTTTTAGGTAAAAGTGGGGCTGTTCCTGTCTGGCCACTCCAGTCCCCCTAAATGGGGTGTTTTGGGTAAAACTGGGGCTGTTCCTGTCCCTGTCTGGCCACTCCAGTCCCCTAAAGGGGGTGTTTTGGGTAAAACTGGGGCTGTTAGTGCCTCTCCCTGCCTGGCCACAACAGCCCCCTAAATGGGGTGGTTTGGGTAAAACTGGGGCTGTTAGTGCCTGTCCCTGTCTGGCCACTCCAGTCCCCCTAAATGGGGTGTTTTGGGTAAAACTGGGGCTATTTCTGCCTGGTGTTAGTGCACATGAAAGGGACCCTGGGATCACACCCCCCCTGTCCCAGCACATGGAAGGATTCCTGGGATCACAGATTGTCCCAGCCCATGGAAGGATTCCTGGGATCACAGATTGTCCCAGCACATGGAAGGATTCCTGGGATCACACCCCCTGTCCCAGCACATGGAAGAGACCCTGGGATCACACCCCCCTGTCCCAGCACATGGAAGAGACCCTGGGATCACACCCCCCTGTCCCAGCACATGGAAGGATTCCTGGGATCACAGATTGTCCCAGCACATGGAAGGATTCCTGGGATCACACCCCCTGTCCCAGCCCATGGAAGGATTCCTGGGATCACACCCCCCCTGTCCCAGCCCATGGAAGGATTCCTGGGATCACACCCCCCTGTTCCAGCACATGGAAGGATTCCTGGGATCACAGATTGTCCCAGCACATGGAAGGATTCCTGGGATCACACCCCCCTGTCCCAGCACATGGAAGGGACCCTGGGATCACAGATTGTCCCAGCCCATGGAAGGATTCCTGGGATCACAGCCTGTCCCAGCACATGGAAGGATCCCTGGGATCACAGATTGTCCCAGCCCATGGAAGGATTCCTGGGATCACAGCCTGTCCCAGCACATGGAAGGATTCCAGGGATCACACCCCCCCTGTCCCAGCACATGGAAGGATTCCTGGGATCACACCCCCCCTGTCCCAGCACATGGAAGGATTCCTGGGATCACCCCCCCCCCGTCCCAGCCCACAGCCCCCCTCACCCTGACGATGTAGACCCGGACCAGGACGTTGACGGGGTCGTTGCTGGGGATGCCCTGGAACATCCCGAGGGTGGGGTCGTGTCCCGCCTCCCTGCTCACGTCCTCGGGCAGCGGCACCTTGTAGACGCACAGGGAGCCCTGGAGCGAGGGAGAGCCCGGCCTGCCATGACTGGGGGGCACAGAGCCACCCCCAGCACGGGGGTCCCGGCCAGCACCCCCGCCCCTGGACACTCCCGGGCCCGGCACTCGCCTTGAACCTGCCCACGATCCGCTCCTCCTCCGTGGCCGTGTCGTCGTTGTCCCCGATCTTGCCCCGGAGCAGGTTGAAGGTGTGCAGCCAGTCCTCGAAGTTGTCGAACTCCGACTCCAGCTCTCTGTTGAAGACCTTGGGGCGGGGGAGGGAGTTAAGAAGAGGGGGAAATTGGGGTAAAAAAAAAAAAAAAAAAAGAAACCGCACAGAAATGGTGAGGAAAAGATGCGGTGACAGGGGACAGGAGGAGAGGGAACGGCCTCCGGCTGGGCCAGGGGAGGCTCAGGTGGGACAGGAGGAGGAATTTCCTGCTGGAAAGGGTGGTCAGGCCCTGGCAGGGGCTGCCCAGGGAGGTTTGGAGTGCCCAGCCCTGGAGGTGTCCCAGGAAGGCCTGGCCGTGGCACTCAGGGACAAGGTGGGCATCGGGCACAGGGGGGATCCACGGGCTGGGAGGGCTTTTCCCACCTCAGTGATCCTGGGATTCTGTGATCCTACTGCCCAGTTCTCACAGGCTACATGAATCCTAAATAAATCCTCGGGATCACTGAACCAGAGCCCACCCCTGCCCCGAATCCAGGCTGGAAAACTCCCCCCTCCAGCCGGGGCACATCCAAGCTGCCCCCAGGGATGAGCCTTCCCGGGAACACCTTCTTCTATCAAACCTGTGACCTCCGACTGCCCCAAACCCTGCAGAGCAGCTGGCAATCCTCGTCCCAGGATACATCCCCGGGTGGGACGACCCAAGGCACACCTCCCCTAGGATCAGGCACTTCCTTGGGAAGCAGCAGAGGCTTCCCTGCCCCCTCCTCCCCCCCGCCACACGCACCTTCAGCTCGTCAACCTTCTGCTTGTTCTTCTTCTCCGGGAGCTCGGGGGCCGCCTGCTGCTGCTTCTTCTTCTTGTCCTCCTTGGGCGCCTTGGCCTTGTCCTTGTGCCTGGCCTGGGCCTTGGAGCCTTTGGTGGGAGAAGAGCCCCCGGGGTTGGCGTGTGAGCCCCAGGGGAGCGCCGGGAGACGGGGACGAGGGTGAGGAGGGTGGGGGAGACAGGGAGGGGATGAACAGGAGGAGCGGGAAAGCTGGTGGGTGCCGCTGCCTGCACCTCCCAGCCCGGCCTGGCCTGCCTGTCCCGGGCTCTGGAGATCCCTGGGCGGGGAAATTCCAGCAGCAGCGATCCCTTGGGGGGCTACAAAGCACGGACAGAGGGGCGAGGAGACCTAACTCTGCCCACAGCACCTCCTTGTCTTCCTTTATTCCTGCTGGATGAAGCCTTGGGAATAAAACCCCGGCCTGGGAATGGCCGAGGGGACGGTGCCTGATGCTCAGCACAAGGAGGGGGGTTGAGCCCATGACCAGCTGCAGCCTCGGGTCATGAAAGTCTCTCTCAGAGCAACCACCAGTGACAGACAGCCAGGAACAGGTTTCTGGGAAAGGGGGGTTCAAAGGAAGCTTCTCCTACCCCCCAACAATCCCTGTCCATCCTCTGCCAGCTTCCACGGGGGCTGGGCGACACCAGGGGGGGACAGAGAGATGGCAACGACCTCACGTGGAAGAGGGAAGGAGGGAGAAGAAGAAGAGGGAAGAAAGAACAGGAGAGCCGAGGGAAATGGATCCTTCTCAAGAGAGAGAAAGAAAACCACGGGGGACACGAGACATCCCCCAGCTGGGAGAGCAAACCCGGGAAGAACCTGCCCAGAGTTGTCTCCGAGCTCGGCAAGACCCGACCTCATCTCTGGATGAGCAGAGCTCCTGAGAGAGCACAAGTTGTCTTTGGAAGCCTGAAAATGAGCAGATGAAGGGAGATTCCTCCTGTCCCCACCTCAGATTTCCACTTCTAACCGGGAAAGTTTGAAGGGCTCAGAGAAGATAAAATAAAGATAAAAAACTGTGTCCTGGTCGGTCAAGGCCGGGCTGGATGGGGGGGTCTGAGCAACCTGGGCGAGGGGAAGGTGTCCCTGCCCATGGCAGGGGGTTGGAATGAGGTGATCCTGAAGGTCCCTTCCAACCCAAACCATTCCATGATTCCACGAACAGCTGAGATAAAATAACGCCCCCAGCAAAGGGGGTGACACGGCACTGCCAGTCTGGGACTGCACCAGTAAATTTGGGACGTGGTCCCCCCGTGATTTATTAACCGAGGTTTAGCTGCAGTTTGACCTGAGCTGGGTTGGCCCAGAATATCCTGGTGGGATCTCCGGGCGGGAATGTGGGCGGAAGATGCCCACGGCTTTAGCCTGAGAAAGTACCATTTAGAGAAAGCAGATTATAATAATTCACTGGCACAGCCCTTCGCCGCCCTGGCGTCCACGCTGGGTGCCAGGTGAGGCTGGGATGTGAAAATCAGCCTTCCAAAAGCAACCCGGCTCAGGGTTTGCCTCAGCTGAAGGACGCGACAACAACCCGCTGCCACGGGGACGTGGGATCTATGGAGGGGATGCCTGGAAGTCCCCAGGGAAACCTTTCCAAGCCCCGCTGGTGGGGTTGGAAAGGAGACAAAGCCACCACCCTTGGCCAAGCTGTCCAGCTCCCCAGGATTCTGGGCCCGCAGAATCTTTGGTGCAAAATTAATGTCGCCCGACTTCAGAGACACGCAACGGCCCGACTGAGCCCCAGAGCCCCGAATTCCCTCAGGGAAAAACGCCTCCAGGGCACCATCCCTCTTATCCTGACGCGGTTGGGATGGATTAGGTGAGAGAACCTGCCGTGGAAGTGTCTGTTTTCCCTCCCTGCAGGTGAAAGCACGCCCAAAACCCGACCCCTCCTGGGGAAACACGACATCCTGCGAGCCCCTGGAGTGGCCACAGAGGTTCCACAGGGATGTCCAAGCCCCGAGAGGAATCCTGGTCCCCCCGTGCCCTCCTTCATGCCCTGCTCACCCTCTCCAAGCTCCAGCTCTTCCTTCTCCTCCGCTTCTGCCACGGCCGCTTCCTGCTGCCGGAGTTGCTGGGGGAGGAACGAAACCGTCGGATATCTGGAACCATTTCGTCATGGAAAAGCTGCCCAAGGGGCAGGGGTGGAGTCCCCACCCCTGGAGAGGCTCAAAAGCCCTGTGGGTGTGGCACTCGGGGCAGCTGGACTCGATCTGGGAGGGCTTTTCCGGCCTGAATGACTCTGGGACAGGCAGGGCTGGCGAGGGATGCGGCGCATCCACCAGGCTTTGGGAGGAGCTGGAAACGGGTGGGAGCTCCCAGCCAGGGAATAACGTTTTCCTGCCCCCCCTTCCACCCCTGCCCTGCCCCAACCCACCTCCTTCATGGTCTCGATGGAAGCAAAATACTTGGACCACCAGTCCAACATGCTCTCGTCGGGCTCCTCCTCCTCCGCCTCCTCCCCTCCTCCTCCTCCTCCTTTCTTCTTCTTCTTCTTCTTCTCCTTCTCCTCCTCGCTCTGAAGGCCCGAGGGAAGCCAAGACAGAAGGGGAGGGGTGGCAGGGAGGAGGGAAATGTCTCCTGAGGTGCCGGGGTGGTGGGTGAAGTTCCAGAGAAAGCACAACCGCCTGGGCTGGGGGGGCCTCGTTACCTCCCCCCTCGTACAGACACCGAGGCACAGAGATGATCCGGGCTCCAGCAGCCTCGGAGCCACGGAATCATGGAATGCTGGGGGCTGGGAGGGGTGTTAAAGCTCGTCTCATCCCACCAGGGACACCTGCCACTCTCCCGGGTTGCTCCAAGCCCCGTCCAGCCTGGCCTGGGACACTCCCAGGGATGTGGAAACCCTGAGACCATCCCCCCCCTAGATTCCCGTCATCCCTTCCATCCACGCATTCCTGTGACAGTTTTAGTCTAGGCCTTCCTTGGTGACCAGCTGGTAACCAAGGAAGTGGCCATGTCCCCAGTATTCCCTACGATTTTTACGTAAGCCAGGGTATAGATAAGAAGGAGAGAGAAGCCTCTGCCCTCTTCTCTTCCAGTGGATCTGAAGGCACAGGTTCTCTGCTGTCGGTCCTGCTCGTGTGGGGGAGCGAGGCCTAGTGAGGCCTAGCAAGCCCTAGTGAGGCTCAGTGAGGCCTAGCGAGGCCTAGTGAGGCTCAGTGAGGCCTAGCGAGGCCTAGTGAGGTCTAGCGAGGCCTAGCGAGGCCTAGTGAGGTCTAGTGAGGCCTAGCGAGGCCTAATGAGGCCTAGCAAGGCCCAGTGAGGCCTAGTGAGGCCTTGCAGGCCTCGAGAGGCGGAGGGTGCTGGCGGTCCTTTGGCGCGATTCTGCTCTCTCAAGGAGAGTAGTAAGATTCTCTTTTGCTAGTTTTTATTGATTGTGTGTACCCGCTTCGGGGTTTGGGGTTTTTTTGTGTTTTTGTCCGTTTTCCCTTTTCCCTTTCCCCTTTTCGGGGGGGTTATTTGGGGTTCTTTTTTTTATATGTACCTAGTATTTTAACTGTATATAACTGTGATATATGCAAATATATATATATATTTTAATATAGTTCTGCTATTCTGGGTTTTTTCATAGTTTTTTTTTCTGGAGGAGCTCCCCAGCTCGGCAGGAGCCAGGCCACTGCCACAGCCACGAGACAACACCGCTGTGTCCCTGCCTCGGGCCCTGCCCGTCCCGGGGGTGCAGTGGATGGGCCGTTGGAAGCGGAGCAGAAGGGCTGGATGGGGAGCAGAGGGTTGGGAGAGGGGACGCAGGGAAGGTCCATCACTTACCACGTCCACCTTCACCACCGCGTCGGAATTCTGCCGTCCGGGGCGGGAGGGAGCAGGGAGAGGGAGAACAGGTCAGAAACAAACCCTCAGCTGGGCACAGGGCGTGGAATCCCGGATCGGTTTGGGTGGGAAGGGACCTTAAATGTCATTTAATTCCAACCCCCCTGCCATGGGCAGGGACACCTCCCGCTCTCCCAGCCTTGGACACTCTCAGGGACCCAGGGGCAGCCACAGCTTCTCTGGGAATTCCAGCCCAGCCCCTCCCCACCCTCCCAGCCAGGAATCCCTTCCCAATCTCCCATCTAACCCCAGGAAAACCAGGCACCTGCATCCCGGTTTTCCCATGCTTGGATATGGGATTGCTCCAAGAGAAACCCTGCCAGGCTCTTCCCTTCTCCATGGGAACCATGGGAATGCAGGGGAGGGAAACCCCAAAGCGTTGGGAAAAGGTCCATCCTTGCTTTTTGGGGATCCTGGGATGGGTTGGGTGGGAAGGGACCTTAAGGATCATCCTGTTCCAACCCCGACACCTCCCACTATCCCAGGTAGCTCCAACCCGGCCTTGGACACTGCCAGGGATCCAGGGGCAGCCACAGCTTCTCTGGGAATTCCAGCCCAGCCCCTCCCCACCCTCCCAGCCAGGAATCCCTTCCCAATCTCCCATCTCTCCCTGCCCTCTGGCACTGGGATCCATTCCCTGTGTCCTGTCCCTCCATCCCTTGTCCCCAGGCCCTCTCCAGCTCTCCTGGAGCCCCTTTAGGCTCTGGAAGGGGCTCCAAGGTCTCCCTGGATCCTTCCCTTCCCCAGCTCTCCCAGCCTGGCTCCAGAGCAGAGGGGCTCCAGCCCTGGGAGCAGCTCCCGGAATCTCTGTTTTCATGGAGCAGAAGGGTGTGAGAAGGAGCTGAAACTCCTGTTCCGGCCAGAAAACGGGCCCTGGCACTTCCAGTGTGTGACAGACCCCGATCCCTTTGGGACACCTTGGCTGCCCAGTCCACACAGTGTGGGATCCCTCGGAGAGCGGGAATTCCGTGGGGGGTGGGACACTCACAGCTTCCAGCTTCACCACCGTCTCCATCTTCCTGATGGGAACCTCGGGCTCCACGCTGACCACCACCTCCCCTGCGGGGACAGAGCGGCGCGTCACGGCCGGGGGCCCCCGGGATCCTACCCAGGGACTGGGATGGACGGGGTGAGGAGAGGGAGCAGGGACACGGATGGGGACAGGGTGAGGAGAGGGAGCAGGGACAGGGACAGGGATGGGGACAGGGTGAGGAGAGGGAGCAGGGACAGGGATGGGGACAGGGTGAGGAGAG